TAGCTTTTGCTTGACCCCCTGTGCTGCTGTCTCTCCTGCAGAGGCAGTAAGGGCGTGGGTGTGTTACCATTCAGATTAACTGATGAGCCCAGGTTTATTGGTTAATTGTATAAACGGGTACACACAAACATACCTAATGCAGAGAGGCAATCATCTTCTGTTATTGATGCATTATCTATGGCCTTATCAACAGTAAATTTGCCAGAAGTTCAAAACACCCAAAACGCTAATTCGAACTAGTTTTTAGTTCTAGACGCGTTAGTTCGAACTAACTTAGTTCGAATTAGTTAATTCGAACTAAACTAATTCGAACTAACTCTGTAGTGTAGACATAACTTCCCTCCCTTGAACCTCTAGCCACAATGTTCTTTGGTCCATCTGTCCATTAAGATGGCCTTTTTATTAGCTATAACTTCAGCCAGAAGAATTAGTGATCTGCAAACATACAGGGTGGAGACCCATTATATACTGTCTCTCTCTCCATAAAAAAATGTTTACTGTGGGACAGAGTGATGTCATTATCCTTCCTCCTCTTCCTCTTTCAGAGAGCTGGGGCTGGTGCACTGCAGCTATAGCCTAGGCCTGGTGACCCTTGGAGAGAGCTGGGGCTGCTGTGCTGTGGTGTCCCTCCATCCTGACTGGTGGCCGGGGGAGAGAGCCAGGGCTGGCACACCACGGCCTTGGCATGGCCCCCCTCCTTGCCAGCTGCGGGGAGAGAGCTGGGGCTGGCCAGGCCTCAGCCTTGAGGCCGGGGATGGGGGAAGGAGACAGGCCAGGGATGCCACGCCTCGGCCCAGCCCTCCCTAGTGGCCAGGGAGAGAGCTGGAGCTGCTTACCCCCCCTAGAGAGAGGGGGTTGCCAAGTATAGCAAGCAGTGTGTGCAGCCCCCTAGTCTTCTATAAAGAAAAGGTCTCCTTATGACCCCACCCTAGACTTGTTCCCAAAGTGGTTTTTGAGTTTCATCGGAGTCTGCTAATCCACTTACCAGTATTGTTTTTTCTTCAAAACTGCATGCCTTAGATGAAGAGAGATGGCTACATTCTCTGAATGTCTGAAGGACTTTGAACTTTTATCTGCAAAGAACAAAGGGTTTCAGACACCTAAACTATTTGTTTCTGTAGCAAAGTGATCAGTGGGTCAGTTATATTAACAAAGGTCTTGTCTTCACAAGACATTACATTCTGCTCCAGTTGTGAACTCTGAATAGAGCTGTGAGGACAGTACTATTACAGTCTGCTATTACTTCTGCATCCTCTCACCGGTCCCCTGTTTGGCTATTGCTTATTAATCTCTCATATATGGACTAGATGTAGTGACCATTGCTCAAAGAAGAGATGCAGGAGATTTTTTGAGGTCTGTGGTCCCGATCTGTATTCTACAACCCACCTTCTGTCCCCTCTGCTACAGATTCTTTGAACTGAAATAAGAATGGTAAACTGGAGAGGGGTTGGCCTGCACCACCTTTTATGAGGAAAGCTACTAAGCATATACAGGCTGCTGGATGTGCTTGCAAAACATCCTGGACTCAGGAACATGGTGTGTATGCATGTCCCACGTGTGGAATAAAGATAAGAACCATTAATCTCAAAAACTCAACAGATACAGGTAAATACATGTTTTTCTAGGAAGTTCTCTTGTTGACTGGTGTTGAACTGCATCTTTTCCTCCTCCAAACATTTTATCTATTTGTGAAAGAAACAGTTTAGTTTCATTATAGTAAGAAAGTGGAACACAACAGCACGTATTCATCTATGTCCTGATTTAGTGAAGCTCTTAAAGGTGTGCTTAAGTTCTGTTGAGTTGAATTTGGAAGTCAAAATGACTTAAGTACAGGGTTTGCTGAGGGAGAACTATAGATCTTAAGATGTGTTTTGACAATTATATATTTTTCTTACATTAGATCCTGGATTGAATAAATAACCTATTTTCTTATTAAGTTTTTTTCTAAAATTATTTTCATACTACACCTCTGTTTGGAACTAAGGCACTAGGAGACTTGTTATAATAATACTTGCATTATTACAGCTATTGTTCCTGGGAGAAAGGAATCACTTGTGCCAAAAGATGACTTTTGCCTTTGTCAGTGCCAGCCATGACTTTTTGTTCAGTTCCTGGATCAGTTACAATAAAACTACTACAGTGCTGTCAGCTGCAGAATGCGGCAAACTTGCAGAAATTGCTGGCTTTGTAAAGTGTTTTTGCATTTCTAAAGAGCACTTTCTCACGCTGTAGGCCTTTCTTGTGCTACACCACGGGGGTCCAGCACTTTTTAGCTGATGGCAGGGTAGTATAATTAACAATCCAGTACAAAATGTTTTCTGCTTGCTGTCTTTTAAGGAGCTATAGTTAAAATATCGTTGCAGTGTTACATTCTTTAGGGAAACAATGTTTAGATCACTGTATAATCCTTAGTTCTCTGCAGTTCAAGTTATGTATTCTGTGTCTCCTTTCTTAATGTCTCATGCTTTTATTTTGCAGTTAGGCCAGTTTAATGTGGACTGTAACATACATGGATGTTTATTCTGTAGTTGTAATGTTCATAATGGCTCATTGTTATGGAGTTCAATATACAGTATTGGGTAGTATGTGTGACGTAATCATGCACTTGATGCTTTCTATAGTGAGATTTTGCAGTGACATAATTAAAAACTATATGCTGTATATCAAATCTTACCTTAAAGGTCTGATTGGGAGGAAGGAGGAAAGAAATAGCATTGCTATTTTTGAAGCTTAGATGGAGAGAGGCATGAAATATAGAATAGAAATTTCTGTTCTTCTGTACAAGTGCACAGACTAATTGTTGGAATAATATTTTCAAGCAGCAGTTATCAGATGGCTTTTGAGGTACATATTAGTGCTCCAATAGTGAAGTGCATCAGTTTTGCATGATCAGATTTCTCGAAGCAGTTCATATTTCAAATGGAAGAAACAAATTTTCCTGAAATCCATCTGTCTTTTTCTGGTAGGGGTAATCCTATGTTGGGAATGTGTTTGTAATCTTGCAGTTTGTAATCTTGCAGTAACATTAGCTGCTATGGAGGGGGTGAATTAAAATATTTTGAATGGTTAATTGTGTATGGGGAGTAATTCTAATATGGATTCACTTGTTCACAAAGTAATATTTCATTGGTTAAATATTTTACTTTCCAGTTAAAACTACAATAGGTTAAATCTCCCCATCTCCTCCTTCCCTTCCTTACTTTTTGTTAACTGAATATTGTAATCTGGGTTTGCATAAAGGGCACTGACTCCAAAGGAGCTGTTATACAACTGGAAGAGTTGGCATACTGGGGTTTTTCTATATTTAACACTTAACTTAACATTTAACACTTAAAAATAATCATTGCTAATTTTTCTGTGAAAATTTATGGTGAAAGCCTACGTTAAGGTAGAATAGTGATAGAAATGTAGTCGTGTTAGTCTGGTGTAGCTGAAGCAAAATACAGGACTATGTAGCACTTTAAAGATGGTTTATTAGATGATGAGCTTTCGTGGGCCAGACCCACTTCCTCAGATCAAATAGTGGAAGAAAATAGTCACAACCATATATACCAAAGGATACAATTAAAAAAAAAGTGAACACATATGAACCACACTAATACCAACCCTGATACCTTCCCTTGCAACAAACCCCGTTGCCAGCTTTGTTCACATATTCACTCTGCTGATACCATTATTGGACCTAACCAAGTGAGTTATAAGATCAAAAACACACATTCCTGCGCATCCAGAAATATAATTTATGCTATCATGTGCTGAAAGTGTCCGTCTGCTATGTACATTGGACAAACGCCTCAGACACTTTGCCAAAGGATCAATGCCCACAAAACAGATATTAGACAGGATCACAAAGAAAAAACAGTTTCTTGCCATTTCAGCCAGAAAGGACATTGTCTCAACGACTTAATTACCTGTATCCTGCTTCAAAAGCCTTTTAAAACTGCACTTGAAAGGGAATCCTCTGAACTGTTATTCATGCTAAAATTCGACACTTTGCGCGGGGGTCTCAACAAAGACTCTAGTTATCTTACCCATTACAAAGAGAGCTTCCCCAATTATCACCTCTAATATCATTAGCTCACAGACATTTACCTTTCCCCTGCTCTCCCCCCCCTCCGTATTTTGCTTGAGCTAAGGTAGAAATTCTACCATCACTGCTATGCACAGTATGAGGACAAAGAGCAGGTGACCTTAAACGTCATATAGTAATTATACAGTTAAAAATGTTTGTATGTTTAAGAGTATCTGTCCATTTAGCCATTTTTTTCCTCAGCAAGATCTTCCATTTCAAAACTGGAGCTTTAAGGACCCTTTCCTAAATTGATCTTAGTCTAGTTTAATTTTACTTACTGGAGCTGAACATTGACGCTTCTTAACTGTGGCTGCTGAGGGATGTGAATCTTTGTGGTGTATCTCCAAATAGCTTTGTCACTTACTGCTATTTAAGTAACAAGAGACCGGAGCTGAAAATAATACTTACACTTCACTAATTCAGATCACTCTGGAAACCTTTAGCTAGCTAATTTTTAGTTAATTTTTAGCTAGCTAATGTGACAACACCTTTGTGGGATAATTATTACCCTATTTTACAAATTGGGAAAATTCAGGCAAATATATTATCACTTTTTGAAAGCCACATAATAATTCATTGGTGCAGCCAGGGTGAGAAACCAAGAGCCTCTTGTCCTGTTGTCTTGTTTGGTACACCATCTGTGCTGCCTTTCTGTGGTGAACCTGGATCACTTGTATTAAGCCCCACGCAAGGCTATCTAGTACTTTACACTCACTTTTCACCAGCTACAGGTCTCTGAATCTGGGTTATATTAATCAGACAGCAGGCCAATTGTTTGTTGTTCGCTAGATTAATCCTGTTCTGTATCTAGAAATACTATTGAGGCTACATGTGGAAGAATGATACAAACTATTGCACAACATAATATTATGGTACCTTTTCATCTTAGTATTTTATGATGCACATGAACTTTTCTTTTTGTTGTTAGGTATGGATGAACGAACAGGTGCTGCATCTTGGGGAACAAGTGGGCAACCAAGTCCTTCATACGAGTCTTCAAGGGTAAGGTTTCCAGTTAACTCTAAGGAGATTTGGGAATGGTCCACAAAAAGATGGCATATTGAGCAAGAACATCTGATGTGGCAGTACAGGAGGCCCCCAAGATGCAACCACCCGAGTTCCTACCCCCCCCCCCCCCACTTAAAACCATTTTTGTAAGTACAGAAGGGGCCGGAAACCACCGGCTTACGTCCCTCGCCCACATTTACGACGGCGTATGACACCTACCATAAATGCAGGTTCGAGTTACGACACCCCCGACTTGCGATGCTTCGTGCGGAGCCAATTGCGTCACAAGTTGGGGGCCTCCTGTATTTGTGAGGAATGTATCCCTTCAAACATTTGCATTAGCATCTCGTGATGATATATTTTGATGACTTTACATGTAACACTAATAGTACTGGTTGGTACTTGTATAGTATAGTACTCTACAATACAGAAATAAATAATGCTTTTATAGGCCTGGTGTACACTAAAGAGTTAGGATAATGTAAGGTAGCGTATGTCAACCTAAATATGTACATACTACACCTTTACTCTTGCCAGGATAGTGCCATACTACAGTGACTTAATAACCACCTGCAAGAGAGAAATGGGGCTTATGCTAGTGTAGTTAGGGCAATGCAATGTCCATGTAAAAAGTTGTAATAGGAAGGAGTGAGAAAAATGATTCTTCTTTACCTTTGAGGATAGAACAAGAAGCAGTGAGCTCAAATTTCAATATGGGCAGTTTAAGTTGGATATTAGGGAAAAACTTTCCAACTGTCAAGGAAACCTTGGGCTGTCACTCTGGAGTGATTGTTGGTGGTGGGAGATTTCAGCTAGACCCTGTCTGCTCCCTGGGCTGCTGGCTTCTTACTTGGAGCCAGGCTGCCTTAGGGGTCTCAACTACTTGCTCCCAATGGGGCTGCTGCCTGGGGTCCCCCCTTCAAGCAGGGCAGCATTTACTGAATTCTCCTTTGTTCACCAGGCGCAAAGGTGCTGTCTGGGCTTTCTGCTCCCTATTATAAACATGGCTGCACCGAGGCTCCCTGCTGGGAACCTGGTAGCTTCCTAGGCTCTTGGGTGCACAGCTCCTTGCTTGGAGCATGGATGGCTGCTGTACTTCTGGCAGTTGGTGGAGAGCTAAGATCCCAAGAGTGGTGGTAGTTGGGCTCTTACACAGAGCTATGTAGAGCTGAAAGCCTGGAATCTCAGCTCCTTCCCCCCCTCCACTCCTGTGAATTCAGTGGAAGTGCTCCTGATGGGGGGATTCACCACTGACAGGAGGAGGGCTGGGAGGACATGAACCGTCACAGGAATTACTGTGGTAGTTGTAAATCGACCTAACCTAGATTGACTGAAGTTTGTAGTGTAGGCTTGCCCTTTTATCCTAAATCTTATGATACTCCTTTCTTTTATGGTAAAGATATATTATTCTTATTTTACAGTGGGGAAATTGGAGTAGAAATTAAGTAGCCAATTCAGCTATTTAAATTTCTTTAAAATGAACTTCTTTAATACTCTTTATTAAGTTTGATTGGTAAAACTGCATGATAAAACAGTGCCCAAAAACCAAATGTCCCCTTTTCTCCCCAAAGCAGCTTGTCCATGATCCTGCTCACCCAGTCATTCTCCTCCTTATGTATGCCCCTTCTTCTCCCATGAGTCAGCAAATTCAGTTATTGGTGAACTAATTGACAGAAACAGATTTAGGAGTAGGAGTCTCAACTGTGCAGACATTCTTCCTTAGCCCCTTTACATTTATCCAAAGGTCTTTTAACTTCTATGCCATAGATCCGTGGTGTCCAACCAGTTGTAAAGCAGTAGCAACTATAGCAAATGAGCCACACTCAACTAGCCAAATAGCCACACATGGCTGGTGGCTAGTGTGTTGGACACCATGACCATAGATGATCTCTGTTGATGTGGGATTGCAAAAGGAGAGGGACAGGTTCAGAGGTAACCATATTTTAGCCTGTGAAGTTAAAAACAGCATCCTAAATTTTGCCTGAAATATAAGTAGGTGCAGTGCCTGAAAACAGATGCAACATGTTCTGTGTGAGAACTGCTCTGCAAGTGGACAGCTGCATTTTGCACCAGCTGAAGTTTCTGGATGATCTTATGGTATAGGTCAGTTACAGATGGAATTAGTGCTTGAGACAGGATCAGAACTCAGGAATTCTAGCTTCCGGTCATGCTCAGAATATGAGACCAGGTATGTCTTAAATAAAGAAATGATACTTGAAATCTGAGAGTATTTTTCTTCTGCTTGAAGTTTGTAAAAGGAATGTTACAAGTCTCTCCATTTTATTTTTAGACTCATACGGTGAGGGAAAAAATGACTTGCTTTCACAAAGGATATATCTACATTTAAAGATCTAAGTTACATCAATATATAGCTATGGCAGTAACTAACTTGCTTCTGCACATCCTCACTATGCTCCTTGTCAGTGCTGTGCATTGTTAGTAGGAGTGTTTGTGCCGATTGAAATGTCAGTGTGGGGCATTGTCGGATGGCTTCTGAAAGCCAGCAACAATTGATGTAAGCAGTGCAGTGTCTACAACTGACACCCCATCAACCTGTGCGTAGGGCCCTACCAAATTCACAGCCATGAAAAATATATCATGGGCTGTGAAATCTGGTCTTTTTTGCGCTTTTAAACCTATATGGGGAGACAAGTATTTTTCAAATCGAGGGTCCTGACCTAAAGAGGGTTTGCTGTAGGAGTTGCCAGGGTATTTGAGGGGGGTCGAGGTATTGCCACCCTTAGATCTGTGTTATTTTCAGATATGGGTGGATGGAGATTGACAGCTGTTAGTGAGACACTCAGCTCTGAAGGCGGTACCTTACCATCAGCAGTGCAAAAGTAAGACTGGCAATACCATACCATGCCACCCTTATTTCTATATTACTTTTTCAGATCTGGGTGGTCAGAGCGTAGTGGCTTCTGACTAAGGGCCCAGTTCTGCAGGCAGCTGTGTAGAAGTAAGGTTGATAATACCATACCATGCCATCTTTACTTTTTGGCTGCTGCTGGCAGCTGCTTTGCTTTCAGAGCTATGTTCTCAGCCACCCTCTGCTGCTCTCCAGATGTCCAGCTCTGAATGGAGCACTGCCATCAACAGCAGTGCAGAATTAAGGATAACAGAATCACAACTCCCCCTTCAATTACCTTGTGATCCCCACCCAACTCCTTTTTGGGTCAGGAACCCTACGATAGTAACACCATGAAATTTCATATTTAAATAGCTGAAACCATGAAGTTTATGATTTTTAAAAATCCTATGAATATGAAATTGAACCAAAATGGTCCATGAATTTGGTAGGGGTGTCACTGCAGGTCTCATGAATGGGTAGTTAAGTCAATGCAGAAGCCGAGTTACGTTGATCGGATCAACATTTTAGCATAGTTGCTTAGAGTTAGGTTGATGTATGATGCTTTGCAGCGACTAAGGTCTATAGCGTAGACCAGAGTGAAGTCTGAGGTAGTTTTACATGGTACTTAACATGTTACAATTTTTACCTCATTTCTGCAACATGGAAATTGTAGAACATGTTGTATGTCTTTGTATAGCAACTTTTAAAGAATTTGTAACTTAAGACACAAAGTTACAAATGACTCTGTAGTCATTTTTACATTTGAAATGGCACCATATACATAGTCACGTATTGGTATTTTTTTTCCTGTGTGTCTTGAACACATTGATAATTCTAGGTGAAAAACTTTTATATAGCTATTAATTATTGAAATGCTGAATTACCCTACTAGGATTCGAGCCTGTGCTGCTTTGGTTGTGTATCTTATGTTGATCACCTGTGTCTGAATTTGTAGTGTCACATATATATGGATTCTTCTTCTAATAATATGAAGTTGGAACTTTGCTTTTAGATGAAGCAGATAATTAAAACCTTTATGTGTTGGTCAAACATCAGGCATACGTGAATTACACACCAAAGTTGGAAAATACAGATGTTGATGTCATAGTATGCCTGAAGTTAGTGGGAGGACAAGAAATTAATTAATTTTGTTGCTCTTAAGGCTTTGAAAGAACCATGAATGTAAGCCTGGATTGAGCTATACAGAAACTCCTCAATAACTTAAATCAAATCCTGCCATTTTTACTCACTTATTATAATCATGCTTACCACGGGAAGGTTCTCTCTGATATGTTAATTTGCCTATCAAAGATAATACTGAACCTGGGTAAAATTAATGTGCCTATTCAAAGATAATATTAAACCTGGGTAAAGTTGGCAGAATGTGGCCTTAAATCCTTATTCTGCTGTTCCTGTCATACTAGTAAATACTTCATATTGTCCTGTAACAGTAATTTAGGATATGTCACCATGGGTTTGTTACATAGTTCTATGAACATCTAAGAAAACGTAAAATCATGGTTCTGAGTGTGCTCATGCAAATGTAAGTCTTGGGTGAATTTTGGATGAATAAAATAGAATTACATGTGCTTCCAAGTGCGTTCATGCTTTTTTTTACTGTAAATGTTGATAAACATTGATTTCACCATAAACACACAAACTAATGAAAAATATTTCTATTGATGGTGATCAAAATTTTATAGATAGGCAAATTAAGAAAAATGCTGCTTTCAGGACTTATTAAAGTTAAAATACAGTGCATTAGGCTTTGAATTAGCTTGTTGCAAATGGACTAGTAGAAATTGGTATGATTTGATTTAAGAATATTTATTTTGTATAGTTTGACATGTGATGTAGACAATTTGTAATTTAATAATTTATAAAGTTTAACTTTTTGAATCTCAACGTATACAGTAATCAGTTGTATGACACACAAGTCCCATAATTTCATGCCTGTGTGAAAATTTAAGTAGATGCAAATTTGATTTAAAAACTTTTTAAATATTGATTTTTAAGGTAAAAATACACAGACTAGAAAACAGTGTATAGAAAAGGTCTTCTTTTAAGACTGTATTCAACTGGAAATGAAACAACATTAGAAATTATAGTGAGCCCCAGATGGTATAATCTTTTGTGTATTTTTCTCCTTATTAAACTCATTTTATTTCTTACAGTGTTTAAGAACCTGTGGCCCTTGAGGCAAGAATTCCTTTAACTTCAGTTGGGAGTTCTGCCAGAATAAGGACAACAGGATCCAGCTCTAAAAAAAGAAAGTGTAAAATAGTCCAAGACTTTGGTTAAATGTTCTTGTTACAAATTGTACTTCGGAACAGATCTTTTTATGCTACTTTTTTTTGCATAATTTTTGGAAGTTAATTTTATAAACAGAGCTAATCCATTATCCAACATACAGTGTGACTCTAGGGCTGACCATAACAGTTCTTTGGGGAAGGGCATTCTGAGTAGCTGTCTCTCCTTAGGCTGCTTGTGCAGTGCTGCTTCTGCATTCAAGTTTAATGGCCAGTGGAGCAGCAATTTCATATTCTACCCACAGCACCATGTGGTGGCCTCAGAAGGTGCCCCAGGAATTCTCCCTATGCAAGCTTTTAGCATCCAGAACTATGTGCATCAGGCAGAGTCCTCTGCAGTTGCAGAATAGTAAGGAGGCAGAGCAAATGATGTGCACATCAGATGACTATCTTGGTTTATGGTGATAATTAGATACCCAAATCAATTCCAGAAAGTTCAAAAGGTGTAGTGAATGTAGTTGGATCCAGTATGACATTCTTTCATTGCATATATGAAAATATTTAAAGGAGGGGGCGGAGTTTTCTTTATATTTTTGTATGAAATGTTGAATGAGGCATAGCTGTTCGTGTTGTCTGCTCTTTCTACGCGTAAATAACATCTTCATGTGTATTAAAGGAATACTCCAGTGCTGTTTTCTCAAAAATCAATAACTTTATTTATGGTTTATGATTTATTACTGTCTACTTAAAAGTGCTATAATATAGAACTTATTCCATGGTGTCCACATCTTTCTGCAAAAAATAGGACAGGGAGAAACTCCATTCTGCTTTGAAATCAATGGGAAAGCATTGGGCTTAATGTAGCAAGTTTAAAGACAACTGACTATATATTTATTTATAAGTTTGTGTGTGTGTGTCTTGTGGGTATGGTTTGTGGGATTTTTTTGCTTTTGTTTAGGTGTAAAATTTTATTTTAGCTTGCGAGTCTTTATTTGGTATTGGTTGATGTCCAAGTATTTCAGATGAGGATAACATGATTTACGCTCTGTACCCTAACAAGAGCAGAGGACAAATCGGGCTACAAAGCATGAGAAAAACTTGTTCTGAGTGTGCTGATCTAGGTTTTGGGAATGAAGATCAGACAAACTGTTTTTAGGGAGCAGGCATAATGGTACAGGTTATGCTTTTTTCTGAGGTTCCTAGATCTTGTCTAGTGATAAACTAAAGAAACAATACAAATTTAAAAGAAAACAACTAAACTCACCTGTCTCTATTTTAACATTTTGAAACAGAGTCCAGTGCTCTTCCCATTGATTTCAATACAGAATGTTCAGTCATGTCCTAATTATTCTTACTACTTGCATGTTTACAGGAAAATGGCAGTCTCCATGGAAAAAGCTCAGACATCTCCACAGCCATAGAAAAGTTGAAACCTCAAGAGGTACTGCTTAATCTGTTTCTAATTTGAGTGTGTGATTTATCTTCCTGTAGTCTCATGCGGGAGTTTTCCTTTAAAAGAGTACATTGACTTAACTGTTTGACTCTAAATCAGTGACAGAATGTGGCTGAGATTCTCAAAAGTGCCTAAAGGACTTAGGAACTCAATTCCCATTGGAAATGAAATGACGGTCAATGGAAGTCAGGCACCTACGTCCCTTAGCCTCCTTAGAAAATCCTAGTCTACATATTTAGTTATACATTTTAACAAATAAGCTTGAAAATGTATATTTTGCAGTCATTTTACTGCCTGTACTTCACATCCCATCACACCCCAGTTCACATTTGTGAATCTAGGAATGTTGACTATCATCCTAGTAGGTAAAACAAATTAGGGAGAACTTGTATCACAATATTACTGTGATAACCTCAGATTGGGATGCAAAAAGGGGCACAAATCAAGACAGGCAACTTTTGTGTACAAAATAGAAGATGTTCATGATTGTCAATTCTGTTATAGATGCAAATTTCTTATTCAAACGAGTGCTTAAAATGACATAGTTTTGGACCTGTGAATATTTGTATCAAATCCTAAACCCATAACATGCTAAATCTGGTATAGTGAACTGTGGCAATCAGTTTAGATTGCTCCCTGTCTGAACAAGATGTTCAACTGGGTTTTTCATTGTAAATACTTATGAAAAAAATCATAAGAAATGATTGGCTTGGCCATAAAGACTTTCTCTTTTACAGGAATGAATCAGAAATGGTAATTAGTGGGTCTAGTGGAACTCTGCAAAACTCTGACATCTGTCCTGTCTTTCAGATGATTACACTGAAGTCTTATTTATGATGATGTGTTAACCTTTCTTTCTGTTGGATTGTGTGTTTTCCCGTGAATCTTAGGTCACATGTAAAGGAATAAGTATAGTGATGTTTGCATGCGCTACATGTGCCCCAATGCTTATTAGCATGTATTGGGTGCTTCCTTAAAGCAGAGGTGAGGAACTTCATGCCCAGGGCCTGGATGTGACCCTCAGCTTGCCTGCATCCAGCCCCCAAGGCTCAGAGATACCCCCGCATTGGGGAGCCCACACTGGTGCTCCAGCCCCACTGCCACCCAGAGGGCTGGAACATACAAAATCTACTAGCCTCCCCCCCCGGCTCTGATGTGTGAAGGGAGTGTGAGGATGTGAGGAGTGCCTTTTTCCTTCTTAGTCAGAGACTTCTTGCTTTGCTTCTCATTTGTGTGCAGCCCCCGACTGATTTTCCTGTGGGTTGGTGGCCCCACCCTTGCCTTAAAGAGTAACATAGAATTATTTTTTTTTCATTTGGATTCAGTATCCTTTGCATTTGCACTGTTGCAGCCTTCTGTTCTAAAAAGATGTAAAGTTGTTCTTTGAAAGTCTTGCTAAAAACACTTAGACCCTAATTCTGTAGTACTTAACAGAGGGAAATGTCAACTGAATCCTGTGAGATTTTGGCCCTTCACTCTCAAGAGTTATTCTTCTAGTAATGATATACCTACCAATATCCAGCATTTCCACTTCTTTGTGTATTGTCCTTTATAGAAGAAAACTCATATCATGGGAACAAATTGGTGTAATTTCTGTGTCTTGGATAAACATTGCCTTTTAATTAAAGGTTATTCTATTTCTACTATGGTATTTACTGCACTTTGAATAATGATATCTTTTATTTTTGTGAATTAAACACCTGTGTGCTTGATGCTTTCTTTGTTTTTGTTCTAACAATGCCTGTTTAATAAAAGGAACAACTTTGTTTTGCATCTGTTCAGATGTGTCTCTCCAAAGGAAAAATATTTAAAAATACTAAAATCAACCATTTCTCCCTGTGGTAGGCTTCTTTAGTATTTAATAGGCAAAAACCTAGGCCATAATTTAACTGTTATATTTTCTTCCTGGCATCTAAGTTGCAAGTGTTTGTGTGCAGTTCTGGCACATATGATAAAATAAGTACTATTAAATGTAATAAATAAATGAATACGTGTTTCAGTATAGTTCAAGTTGGGAACCAATTTTGATATTAAGTATGCATTTTTTTCTTTCTGTGCATCTAGGAAAAAAGTTTTCTTCCCCTACATATATACATACACCGTAACTGTTCCTTCTAAATACAGTCGTGTAAAACTACATGAAACCAGAGTTGGGTGGCTACAATAAATTTAGACCGTACTCTAGCATCAACAGATTGTATGGCCTAACCATCATTATGTCTGAAATAGCTGAAAATATATTTTAGAGGCCAAAGGGGTATAGTTTGTTTCCATCTGACTTCACTTTTTACACCAATAGTACATTTTAATTTGGTAAGAAATCAAAAACAGTATCAAGAAAAGATAGCAAGTTTTGAAATAGTGTTTTATACCTCTTAATCTCAGGTACAAAACGAGAGAGGAAGCTGTTAAATAGCAAAGCAAGACAAGAGAGATACAGAACTCCAGTAAGTGTTATCTAGTCTATTGTGTTTGTGTCCTTTTTGTCCTTTTGTTTTTTGCTGTTTATATGCTTCCTCTAGTTTATTATTTTGTACCTGAAAAGATTATCTGGTATGAAATTCTATTTAAAAAAACCCAAACAAACAAAACTTCCTGCACTCAAGGGTCAAGAGGTTTTTCCAAACGTAACGTAACGTGTTTATGTAATTAATTTGATACATGTTTCTAGACACTGAGTGCCAAAATATAGTCTCCAAACACCATGTGAAGGTATCTAAATATCTCAGACATATTTGTTAATATGCTAGTTTGTCGTGTAGTTTTTTTCCCCAGAGTTTTCCAAGCTTTGTTGAAAGGCTATATTATTCAGTTTTTCAATTCAGTGTGCAGGTTTCATATATATATATAATAATTTCCTAGAGTATCGAGTGAAGCATTAAATTCTGTTTGCAGATTAGTTTCCAACAATAAAACATAGTTCTTTGCGTATGATTCTTAGGAAAGAGACAAATAAACATTTTCCTGCTTTAATAGAGTGTTCAGTGTAGGAGATTTTTAAGGTACAATTGGGTATTTGGGATAACTAGATTCAGTGGCTCTCTAAATCATTACAACTTCAGTGTAACTTTTGACTCAGAAACCAGAGGGAATCTATGACAGTTCCAAAATGGAGTACTTCAGTGAATAATTGTTTGAATTCATTCTCCAAAGTTCTAAAATATGGAGGGTGCATAGGTTTCTAGTTCTATGTTTCTCCTCTGTGAGAAGCTGCTTATCTGTTTCAACATAGTATCTGTAACATTAACAAAATACTTTATAAGCTTCAGAGGGGTAGCCAAGTTAGTCTGTACAGGATAAACTTAAAAAACAACAAATAGTATATTAGCACTTTAAAGACTAACAAAACATGTAGAAGGTATCATGAGCTTTCATGGGCACTTACTTTATCACAGTTTGAGACTGCATAGCAGATTTGTGGATCAAGTGGTATTCTACCAAGGAAAGACAGAATACCAAATAATAGAGACAGACAATAGTGAGCTGGGATTAAAAAGGCTGGGGACTGGCAAGGTAAGCAAAAACGGGATGAAAAGTAGGATTTTCAGTTAACTTTGATTATAAGGGAGGAGTTTATATGTTTCCTTATTTATGAAGTAATATATTCATTCTCAACCTTGTTTCTATCAAAATCCTGTGTAACACCAGGAAAAAAGTTTCCTGTCTGCCATTTTGTATGGTTAGTTAGAAGGGGAAAGTGTTCACAATCTCCAGGCTGAGAAGTCATGTGTGACTAATTCTATACTGAACTTTAAACATTTAATCTTGGTATCTTCTGATAGAAAGTGTTAAATACTGTGTTTAGCTTTCAGACTGCAAGGGTGCATCTACACTACACTCTTATCTTGAAAAAAGTGATGCAATTTGCATAGCTTATTTTGAGTTAATGTAAAAATAGAGAGCTATTCCGAAAGGTCCCTTAATCCTCATGGAACAAGGTTTACAGGGTTGTTGGAATAGTGGGCTGTTAGTTTGAAAGCTATTTCAAACTAACGGGCGCGCTGTCAAGATGCGGAAAATGCTATTTCGGAATAACGGAAGTATCCCGAAATAGCGCCGCTGTCTAGCTGTGCCCTAAGTGTCGTGCACAGTGTGAATCATTATCTTTGAACCTGACTGTTTAGATTTTTACTCTGCAGCCATTTATAATGGTGATTGATAATCATTCTCTAGCATTTATTTGAGGTGATTATGTCAAATATATGTTTGTAATGTGGAGCCAATAAGTCTTGTTGAAACATGTCAGCATTGTTTTCAAATGAACCCTTAACATGTCACCTCCATGTCCATCCGTTTCCATTTTTATTTTTTTCACTTGAGAAAGTCTTTGAGTCTGTTACTCATATTAAATGTTTACTAACCATTATTGTGAGACTCTTAGAATATTTCACATTCTGTTAAAATGTATAGCCTGAGGTGTTAGTATTGGTACTTTGCTGCAGTATGAGATCATTGGGGTTTTTCCACCTTGGGCAATTGGAACTGAGGCATATCATCAGTGTAGTGCGGTTGATCTCCAGGGCAAAGAGGAAGGTGACATACTTACAACGGAGGCGTCTCTGTCTCTTGTTGTTTTTAATAATAAACAACATTAGGGTCAGCCATGGAGGAAATTGCTTGAGGATGGGAATTGTGTTTTGTAGCTTGAACTAGTCTTTAATGTTTGTTGATTATGAATGAAATTTTAGATCTGTTACAGTAGTATTGTTAGAATAAAAATGTACACAAAAAATGTTCTTGACGTGTATCTTTCTTTATGTATACAACTTCAATAGAAATTTCAAATTTCTAAGGAGGCATCTGTAATACCTGTGTTACAGTTCCAGGGTGAGCTGCATGTTGACCCCACTGTCTCTTTATGGGCACTACTTCTAAGTGACTGGCACCTACCTGTACATCTTTGTGTGGAACAAAGCAATTCATTTCCACTCATAGACTGGGTAACCAGATTATAGTCCTCTTGCTTACCAACTATGTTCTCAGTATGT